ATACAAATTCTTGAATACTGCTGCCAACTCTGGACCCCGTTCACACTCGGCGCAGTGCGGCAACTGGAAGGTGTCCAGCGAACCTTCACTTCCAGGCTCTGAGGGATGGAAGAGTTGAACTACTGGGAGAGGTAGAGTCGCCTGGGTCTGTACTCACTGCAAAGGAGACGGGAGAGGTATGTCATTCTGGACACATGGAAAATGATAACCGAATTGGTGCCAAACTTCGAGAGCGAGACCTTCAGGATTGAGACATATCACAACGAGAGAAGGGGGAAACTGTGCAACAGATCCGCAGTCTACTACGCAACAGATCCGCAGTCAGATTTCAATCCTTGCGTTAAGGATCACTTTCCGTGGCAGTTCCGAGGCTGTTTAAAGTCCTACCAAAGGATCTGAGAGAGGGAGAGTTCACTCTGGAGACCTTCAAGAGACAACTGGTCGTGTTTCTGGGTACAATCCTAGATCGAACTCCCCTGCAACACTACCAGCGGCGAGAAGCAAGCAACAGCATCGTGCATCAGGTGGCCCAAATGCCAAATGAGGGAGGATGAACGATAATCAGAGACGGCGATCCATCCTGGCCTGGGACTGCTACGTCCGAAACAAATACCAAGGACCAAGAGAAGCCCTCTTTTGTCAGCAGGATATTGGCGAGTGGGTGAGCGGCGGTTGGTTACACCCGGGCATGCGCGACACTTAAGACTCATCGTGGCCGGCGAAAATCTATAGATTTCTTTGCAGCGGACACACACTGCGCTAGTTCCAAAAAAAACAAACACGCCGAGTTTTCGGTTCCGTGGTTTGAATATTCGTTTCTATCATGCCGTTATTGGCACATCAATCATTGTTCTTGCGAACCATGTCTACATCCGCACGCAGTGCCAATGCAACATCAAGCAGTTTTCTAATCGAAGGGATGCCCATATAGTTTATTTCCACTCCTATTTTTAAACGAGTTAAAGAACTCTCCGCAAAGTTTTCTTGCTGAGACATTTAATTACCTTCTACCTTCGCCCATACTCACGAACTACTTTTTTAACCCCCATACTCCAATAGCTAAATTCATATTGAGACAGTCATTTCCATAGGATATATCTATCCAATAAATGTTTGGTCATTCAAGCAAATCTCTTTGCACTAGCTTTTAAGTTCCAGACATTTCTCTAGTAAAGAATGTTAGAAGGGGAGGCACTGCAGGGGTTGGGAATGGGAGTGAATGGGACGAGAAGGAGGACTAAGAAGGGGGGATGGGAAAGGGGGATGGGAGGATGTATGATTTATGATAGGTACTCTGTTTCACTAGTATGCAAAACACTCCTATTTTCATGCATTTTCTCGCATATTTGTTGTTCTTCCATCACTATCTACATTTCACCTCATGCGCGAGAAATGAGTTTGGGGTTATATGCTGCGCTTCCTAATTTCAGGCTTGGCTTTTCGCACGAGTTCAGGATTTAAGTACGAGTATTTCCATGAATTTCCTGCTAGAACTTCTATGAAATATATGAGGGATTTTTTTTAAATTTCTATCCCGACATCGTAGTTTCGATTTAATAGGAGATGAAAACAGTTTTTTTGCAGCGAGCTAATGTTACGCGAAAAAAATTGTCCCGAGATCGTATTTACCTTTATAGCATTTACCCTCGTCAGCATTTCAAAACTACGCGTAAACACAACCACTCCTCCTTATCTAAAATCCATGAACATCAAGCCTGCATAAAACTTTCTCGGGGATTTACCAGGACGAAGTAATGACTCTTCGGCCTAGAGAACGGAAACTCTGCAGGCAACAAGAGTGTGGCTCCACAGAAATAAATAATTATAAAAATAAGTTTCTATAGACGGTATCAACATAGTCAAACATGCTTATTATCGCAAGCTAATTGTAAGAGCCATTTTAAGATGGCAGTGGGTGAAAATAACTCTACGGGTTATGTCGCTTCAAATGCCTGGTAGTGGCCTACTGCGCAGTTGCCTGAGGTCAGGCCGGTATAGGTGAGTATTGTAGTTAGATACCGGGCTAATACCCACCCAATATAGGTGAGTAGTCAGATACCTGACTATTGCCCACCCCGATATTGGTGAGTAGTCGACTTCTACTCACCCCGGCATTGGTGAGTAGTCAGTTACAGTAGTTACCTGACTAGTACCCGCCCCAGTTTTGGTGAGTAGTCAGATACCGGACCGGAGTAACCGGACTACTACCCACCCCAGTTTTGGTGAGTGGTCAGATACCTGGCCACGACCGCTCGGTATTGACCTGCACTGAAGCATCACTCGAGTGGCGGCGGCTCAGCATTGTAGGTTTGAAGCCACCAATCGATGAGCCAGTCTGTCATACGCTACCCTATTCGTGCATGGAGCTATGGCACCAGGTAATCTCCAATCACATTTATGGACAGGCACTTATCTTGATTTGTGGCTAAAAAAGCCAAGAGCTGCCAGTTTTCGGCTAACGCAGAAAGTCAATTACTAATATATTAGGATGAAAAAATGCAAAATTAATAGAAAAATATGCCATAGAAAAATAGAAAAGCATATATTTACCCCTTTTCTTTGCAGCAGAACTGAATAAACTCAAGTGAACACGTGTGGGCAGAATTGCACACGAATTCGCAGTTTACGAATGCAATGTAACTCTAGTTAATATGACCAAAGAATTTAAGGAGAAGAATATTCATAGTTGTTGTGTATACCAAACAAGGCTTACTTCATTGTCTATTTTGCCACATACCGTAGCAACTCCATGATGGAGTTTCTGCAGAACTTGACTCGGCGAGGTCTCAAGGAAGGGCAGACGCACAGGCTCCCGGGCAATGAAGGGTCCGGGGCTGATCATCCTGGCGTGGATCGGATTACCCACGAGGGTCGACGAAGGTGGTTCCCCCCACTTGGAACAAACTCCCCCGCCCCCACACACGACCTTCCACATTCCCCCCTCTCTTGCTGCGGTTGCCAACTCAGCAGATCCAAGGGACGAAAAAGACCGACGGTGGTGGCTCTTTTTCCCCGAGTGTCGCCTTAGGATTGGATTCAATGAAGGGAAATGGGTGGTGCCTTCAAACTCTGGGTAAGCGAACTGAGTGAGTGATGGATAACTTGCAACTCCTTTCGTTTGCGTTGCGTCGCCTCCACCAGGGAAGGAGTTTTGTGATGCAATCTCAGTAGGTGGGGAAGGGAGCCTTGGGGGCTCTCCTAGACCCAATCCCACGAGGAGGAACGGGGCGTCCGAGGGAGGTGGGGAGGCAGATGCTGGACCTGAGGCTTCAGGTAGGATGGGTGGAATTCTCTCACTTCTTATTTGTGTGGAGGCTTTAATTCCAGCCTCAGAGCGGGGCATAGTCGGGCATGGTATTGGTAAAGTTCGTCAATTGTGTATTTTGCTCAAATAATCAACCAGGTTTTAATACACCGTAGTTCTTATCACTGTAGAAGGTGGGAATAAAAATACTATCAGCCAGTTCGTATTTGAACTGTGAGAAAAGAGACGGCAACCCTAACGAAGAAGTGAAATACTCTTTGTCACACAATTACTTAATTGGAAAACTTAAATTTCTGTATTAACCAGTTTCTTCCTATTTTTAATTAACATACTCCGTTTCCAAACATTAAATATTTTAAATGAGATAAGTAACTGATTAGTATGAGAGGCTATCATTTTATTGCTAAATATTGCATTAATAGAGTGGTGCGTCACACAAGGCTGCCTTCCAGAAGATCATTTTGCTCCAGAAGGTTCGTTTCTATGAATAGTCCAAGCGATAACATGTACCACAACCTTTGTAAGCAGCACCTGCTATATGGCAATATTAAAACATTGGTAACCTTTATACACATTTGATTTTAAGCATCCATAAACTATAGTTATTGCAAGTTGAACCAATATACCCTCAAATATCTATAGGTACAATTTATAAGAGGTGGAAGGAACACGGTTTTTCAGATAATAAAAAAAATGTGGTGGAGGCAGATCATAGATAGTGACACGAGTTTTCGTCTAACGTTGAAACAACGTTACATTTCACAATCACCACTGCGGTACAGCTGTTTAGTTGCATGCACTCAAATTGTGCAGTGCTAAATTAACCACACCTCACAAGACGAGGCTAACTGAGCCACTGACTGGTCACGCAGTCACGACTCCCGATGCAGCCTCGCTCACGACCGGCGAACTGTGAGTTCCGAGCTACCGACGTGGAGTCTGTTCCTTACAGCGACAACCGATAGCATTGTGGCCGCTCGTGTAGCGTGCAGCACGCAAGTAATCTAATGCGACTAATTTCTTTGCGGAATATTGAATAGTCATGCCTGGACATGACATAAAATTTTCAAACATGTCCGTTTTTTGTACCAATCGATGGATTCGGTCGTTCATGAAGTGCAATCAATGATTATGCATTTTTTTGCTATTTCCAATTCACAACGCCCCTCGTTGCCTTGTGGATAAATACCTCACACATTAGAAGTCAAGTGTAATGTTCTTTTGAATTACGCGTTTATGTTGGTTATATGTATGAAATTTCATTGCTTAAATTCAAGGTTTCACCAATGTTCTCAGAAACAAAACCTGTAAATGACAATTAAAACTTTTTCATTAAAGGGTTTTGATATTTTTTGAAAAGCTTCTGTGCATCTTAATAAAAATAAGTAAATTGTGGAATTTATTTCTTATCAATTAAAAAATTAGTACACTATTCTAAAGAAATGGTTTTACATAAGCTTTGACGGCTTACATCCAAATAGTTAAGTTATTATTCGGTCGAATGGTACCTAAATGTATAAAATCTGTACCGTAGATTTTCGCAACCGCTCTAAAATCTCTAACGCTACAAGAAAACAGCCATTGTTTGTTAGAATGAATGTCTAATAATTCTCTTTAATTTATTTTCTCTCACAAATAATAAATGAATAGTGCAGTAGACGGTTTATGCAACTCACTTCTTGCCTCCCGCTTCTCTGCTATTCGTGTCAAAATAATTACATTTAATGTTACTCACAACAATTGGAGAGAGGTTAAGCGTGGCGTCAGACAGCGATTTATTCCTCTGCAGTCCTTCCTCTAACTGATTGGACCTGCTCATAGAAAACAAATCTATAATTAGAGGTAACTTTATTAAATTTTGATCTCATATCGGACAGGTAAGAATAGAATAGAAGTGTCGGCACTGAAGAAATAGGCACATAGCCTGTTGCCGATTCTTGTACTTTTCGTGACTTGATTCACAAGGGATCCAGCCTTATGAACCCGATCTTTCCATAACTGACGAATTGATTGAGTTAGCTGCTGGACTTATTGCCTGGTCCGAAAGGTGCTAGGCACTTCAAGACTGAACATATGCTCCTGCATAGCTTCGTCTAGTCTAGTCTGTTCTTGAAGGTGTTCTTACTCGGAGCGTCAACGATGCTATCAGGGAGGCCGTTTCACATGTCAGTGACTGGAAGCGGGAAGAAATGTCGTCGCACGGATGTGTTACAACGCAGTTTTTTTAGTTTGTAGTTGTGGCCCCTGGTGTTGATTAATGTTTCAAATTCGAATAATCCTTCTGGGACCTTGTATAAACCGTGGGTATACTTGCATACTTCAACGAGGTTACCACGCAGACGTCGATAACAGAGGCTTGGAAGCTTCAAAATCTTTAACCTTTCTTCATAAGGCTTGCCTTTTAATCCCGTGATTATTATTGTTGCACGTCTTTGAACACTATCGACTTAATTTTTGTCCTTTTCTAGTTTTGGTGTCCACACGGCGTTTCCAAACTCTAGGTTCGAACGCACGACAGTGACATACAACAGTTTCATCGCTTCAGCATCAATGTACTGGTAAGAGCGTCTGATCAGTCCAAGTCGTTTATTAGCATTATTACCTTAAGCTATGCTTAGAAAATTTCAACTTATTGTAGACATTAATCCCTAAATTTTTTTCCATTGTCGACTTCGACATCATCACTCTGTCGTTGCAGCCATGTCTTCTCATACTGTTATCTTGCTGTTCACTATTCTTGCCAAGGTGGATTACTTTACATTTGTCAGCGTTAAAACGCAGCTGCCACATGTCGGTGATTCGAAGAGAGAAGAAATGTTGTCGCGTGGATGAGTTNTTCGGATTCTTTTGGGATTTTGGCAATATTTTTTTTTCGAATTTTTTCACTGCAGTAAGACAGACTTTTTAGCAAGATTTTGAGCTTTTGCATACGGGTCAAAATCAGCATCGCTGCGAGTTCGCAAATGACGTTTGTAGGCTTCCTTCTTGTTCTTTAGCTGAGCCTTAACTGTACTGTTCATCCACTGGGACTTTTTGACTCCTCCAAGCGTAGTCTTAGGTACACGGGCATCAACTGCAGACATAACCGTGTCTTTGAAATATGACCACGAATCAGTCTTATTCATGTCCTTAATACAGTCCAAAATATTCGCCGCATTCACTGCTTCACGGAGTTTATCATAGTCGCCTTTCGCAAATTTCAAACGTTCACGCTTCCGAAGGGTCTTTTCTGCATAAAACTTAATACTGAAAAACAATGATTGGTGGTGGCTTTTGCAAAACAGAGCTCCGTGGCAAAGCTCATCTAACATTGATCCTTTACTAGTAAACACTTGATCTAGAATACTTGGGGTCTGTTTACAACTAAAATGGGTTGGCTTGATGATGTTCAGGGTTATAAATGAGTCTCGCATAGACTCCAAGAACAGGGATGCTGGGTGATTCCAATCTCTTGGAGAAGATCCATCTGCCCAGTCTATTTCGGGATGAATAAAGTCACCAACGATAAATGTATGCGACCTGCTGAAAGATATGCTCGGTAAATGGCTATTAAATACTTTATCATTATCAGAGGAACTTTTTGGTGATCTATAAAGATCACCTATGAGGAGTTTATCCTTGTCTTTTAGAGAAAGTTCGCACCACACTGATTCTCTAGCTAATTGATGCTCTGCATATAATTTAACTTACTGGGACCATAAGAGGTTCTAATCCACAGAGCTACATCTCTACTGCACTGCTCTTCATTTAAGTTATGAAAACAATCAAAACCCGGCAACTGAAATTCAGCAGGCACAATTCCTCCCCCCCGTGATTTTTAGGGAGTGCTTTTGTAATACAAATAATGTCCATACACTCGTTTGCGATCGCAGTCAACAGATCACTTTTTTGTTCAAAACGGAATCCGAGTGCGTAAGAAAATATTCTAAAACTTTTTTTTAGACTGAAGGCAGCGGTTGCACTCAGTAACGTTTTGTATATTCTAGGGTATAATATATTTAAGTCCTCTATCGTTTGAATGTGTTCAGAAGCAGATATCGCTTGTGTTCTGTTTAAGATTATAGTAATATGCTCAGTAAATATTTTTATATCGTATGTCGTAATAGATTTAAGTCTCCTTTGATCGTGGTCACGAGCAAATATTTCTTGTGTTCAGTTGAAGATATAGCAATATGCTCAGTAATTATTTGTACACTCTAAGGTGTAATATATTTATGTCTCCTATCGTTTGATCGTGTTCAGTAGCAGATATCTCTTGTGTTTAGTTTAAGATTATAGTAATATGCACAGAATTTTTTTTCATATCCTATAGTATATTATATTTAAGTCTCATATCGTTTGATCGTATTCACAAGCAGATATCGCTTGTGTTCAGTTCAAGATTATAATAAAATGTCCAGTAACTTTTTGTATATTCCAAGGTATAATATAGTTAGGTCTCCTATTGTTTGATCATGTTCACAAGAAGATATCGCTTGTGTTCAGTTTAGGATTATAGCTATATAGCGACGTGGTGAGCATGGTGAAATATCGTCAAACTTCGGGTTACGAACATTAAATAAGCTCAGTAAATTTTTTTCATATCCTAAGTTATAAGATAGTTAAGTCTCCTAACGTTTGATCGTGTTCAGAGGAAGATATTGCTTGTGTTCAGTTTAAGATTATAGTAATATGCTCAGTAAATATTTTTCATATAAAAAGGTTTAATATTCTCATGTCTCCTATCGTTTGGTCGTGTTCTCAAGCAGATATCGCATGTATTCAGTTGAAGATTATAGTAATATGCTAAATAAATTTTTGCATATTCTACGGTATAATGTATTTAAGCCTACTATCGATTAATCCTGTTCACGAGCAGATGTCGCTTATGTTCAGTTTAAGCTTAGGTATACTGTTAAGGTATAATATATCTAAGTATCTTATCGTTTGCTCGTGTTCATAAACGGATATCACTTGTGTTCAGTTTAACCTTATAGTGAAATGCTCAGTAAATTTTTTTCATATCCTAAGGTATAATATATTTAAGTCTTTTATCGTTTGGTCGTGTTCGCGAGCAGATATCGCTTGTGTTCAGTTTAAGATTATAGTAATATGCTCAGTAAATATTTTTCATATCCTAAGGTATAATATATTTAAGTATCCTATCGTTTGGTCGACTTATTCATGTCCTTAATACAGTCCAAAATATTCGCCGCATTCACTGCTTCACAGAGTTTCTCATAGTCGCCTTTCGCAAATTTCAAACGTTCACGCTTCCGAAGGGTCTTTTCTGCATAGGACTTAATACTGAAAAACAATGATTGGTGGTGGCTTTTGCAAAACAGAGCTTCGTGGCGAAGCTCATCTAACATTGATCCTTTACTAGTAAACACTTGATCTAGAATACTTGGAGTCTGTTTACAACTAAAATGGGTTGGCTTGATGATGTTCAGGGTTATAAATGAGTCTCGCATAGACTCCATGAACAGGGATGCTGGGTGATTCCAATCTCTTGGAGAAGATCCATCTGCCCAGTCTATTTCGGTATGGATAAAGTCACTAACGATAAACGTATGCGACCTGCTGAAAGATATGCTCGGTAAATGGCTATTAAATACTTTATCATTATCAGAGAAACTTTTTGGTGATCTATAAAGGGCCCCTATGAGGAGGTTATCCTTGTCTTTTAAAGAAAGTTCGCACCACACTGATTCTGTAGCTAATTGATGCTCTGCATATAATTTAACTTACTGGGACCAAAAGAGGTTCTAATCCACAGAGCTACATCTCTACTGCACTGCTCTTCATTTAAGTTATGAAAACAATCAAAACCCGGCAATTATACACTCGTTTGCGATCGCAGTCAACAGATCACTTTTTTGTTCACAACGGAATCCGAGTGCGTAAGAAAATATTCTAAAACTTTTTTTTAGACTGAAGGCAGCGGTTGAACTCAGTAACGTTTTGTATATTCTTATAGTCATATGTATATTATTATAGTCATATGCTCAGTAAATTTTTTTCATATCCTAAGGTATAATATATTAAAGTCTCCTATCGTTTGGTCTTATTCACGAGCAGATATCGCTTGTGTTCAGTTTAAGATTATAGTAATATGCTCAGTAAATATTTTTCATATACAAAGATATAATGTATTTAGGTCTCCGATCGTTTGGTCGTGTTCGCGAGCAGAGATCGCTTGTGTTCAGTTTAAGATAATAGTAATACGCTCAGTAAATATTTTTCATATCCTAAGGTATAATATATTTAGGTATCCTATCGTTTGGTCGTGTTCGCGAGCAGATATCGCTTGTGTTCAGTTTTAGATTGTAGTAATACGCTCAGTAAATATTTTTCATATCATAAGGTATTATATATTTAAGTATCCTATCGTTTGGTCGTGTTCACGAGCAGATGTCGCTTGTGTTCAGTTTAAGATTATAGTAATATGCTCAGTAAATATTTTTCATATCCAAAGGTATAATGTATTTAAGTCTCCGATCGTTTGGTCGTGTTCGCGAGCAGATATCGCTTGTGTTCAGTTTAAGATTATAGTAATATGCTCAGTAAATATTTTTCATATCCTAAGGTATAATATATATAAGTGTCCTATCGTTTGGTCGTGTTCGCGAGCAGATGTCGCTTGTGTTCAGTTTAAGATTATAGTAATATGCTCAGTAAATTTTTTTCATATGCTAAGGTATAATATATTTAGGTCTCCTAACGCTTGATCGTGTTTACGAGCAGATATCGCTTGTATTCAATTTAAGATTATAGTAATATGCTCAATAAATTTTATCATATACTAAGTTATAATATATTTAAGTCTTTT